CCACGTTGGGCTCGCTCTCTCACTCTCCCCCCGTGCTGGGCTCCATCTCCATGGCGCCGCACTGAAGTTGACTCCCTCACTGCAGCTGCTGGGAAGAAATCTTGCCTCAGACGTGCTGGTCACCTTAAAGCCGCTGATCTCTCTGCAGAAGGTAAAGAATTTAAAGTAAGAAGAAAAACGTTGTGAAAGAAGATGGCTACAACAAACCAGGATGCAGTTTAGTACAATTTCTATGCAAACATCCTCCTTCACACACAAACAAAAATAAAATTTGCACACACTGTTATTTACCCTGTGAGTTACCGAAGTTCTCCAGTTATGCAAATAACTGTTCTCACGCATCAGTCCCTCTATTGTCAGTCTTTTTATGCACATGGCATATTTACAGATTGGCACATTTTCCACCAACATGAGCTAGTTCGAATGATGTGTTTTCTGATTCTGTTCCAAAATCTTCTCAGTTGACTCTTCTGATTTAAGTGGTTGCCTTAGTCACCTCTTTCCTGAAGTCATATTAACTGTATCTGCTGAGGCTATCTTCTCATTTCTTGACTTTGGCATCAAGTTCTGCTAGTTGTCCTGTGGTAGGACGCTCACTGTCTTGTGCTGTTTCCTGTCTGTTCATCAGCCAATACGGCCAGAAAACACTGAACAAAATCCTACAGGGGTCTGAGTGATGTGGACTATGGTGAGATTTGTGGCATGATCAGACGGGAACTCCAGCCAAGCCCATCTTGATGTTGGGAGCCTCTCAATCTATCTTTTATGCATTTGCCAAGCACTGTGGTGAGTTTCTCACTAGTCAGTGACGTGTTGCCAATTCACGGGGATTATGGCTTGTTAAATGTCTTGTTAATGCAGCAACTCGCTTTATTAATATTCAGCTTTCTGTCTTGCCAAGTGCACAAAGCAAGCCAGAGTTTGAGAAAACCAGACGTGGAGATCAGAATGTGTATCTGGAGAATTCAGCTCCCTGCTTGCTCTGAACGGTCTCCATGTTGCAAGCAATTAACCTGCATTGTGGAGCATAGTCCACACACACCAGCTGCATGTACCCTTTGTCCATGGATGTTGACATTTAGTATTTGCCAAACTGTCACGACTCTCAAAACACCTTTTCCAATACACTTGCAGGTCACTCAAGAAGCACAGGCTCACAATGCAAGCTACACCAGGAATTAGCACTGTAAGGCTGCTGCAAGGACACTTTGCACACACAGGCAGGGACCCATCTCACGGATTAAACCAAGCTGCATCTGAAAGCTGCTTGATGACTCACCTAGTGCCTATCTGCATGTTCGTACAATTCATTCCTTGCCTAACTAATCCAATGAGTGCAGTGTCACAGCTATGCAGCTTGCCTTCCTGGTCAGCTGTTCTCAGGCAAGGGGGCATTCATCTTTCTCTCTGGCAGTGCGCTGCATTGGTCTCACACCTACATTGTATCCCAGTGGTTTACCTGGCAAACACACTGTCTGTTCAGCAAGCAGGCAGCAATATCTTAAGAGGAGGAACTCCTCATTAAAGTCCACCAAGGTACCTCTCAGTCAAGGGAGGTTCTGGCACAATAAGTCAAGAGTAGCCTCCAATACCTGTCCAGGAGACTTGTCACGGTCAGGCAGCCTGTTTGGATGGTCTCAGTGAGGGGGTCCATGCCTCTGCAGACCAGGGAATGAGTGTTGGTCATTCCTGTGGACAGTCCAGGAGTTAGGGCTAACGCAGTCAGGGAGCAGGGCAGCCACTCCTTGCGGGGGAAGGGGGGTCTCTCAAGACTCCTCATCCAGTTAAGTTACTGCAGGGAGTGGACCACGGTCAGTCTCTTGGGTCTTTCCACAGAAACTAAGGGAAAGAAGGTTTGGCAGTGCACAGGGCAGCCAATGCCACAGAAAGGAGATTCATCATGTTATTCTTCAGGAGTGTGGGCCCTAGAGTTGGTCAGGGGAAGGAAGAATGATAGTTGTGATAGTGGGGTTCAAGTGTATCTGCAGGGGAGGATACAGTAAAGAATGGACAGGAAAGAGGGGATCACACAGGAGGAGGTTTGTCCACAGTTAGGAGTAGCCTTACCTCAATGTGGGGAGAGAGGGGCAGACCACACCCACCTAGCATTGTCACCTCATATGTCAGGGGCTAGCTGGGAAAAGTAGGCTGGCCCACGTAGGCAGGTTGGGAGGTGATGAGGTTTATGGAAAGGAGATTTGATGAGCCTGCACGTCAGTGGGCAAAGAGTTCTCTCTGTTACCTCTCACTGTGCTGACAACCAAAAATGCAAAACAGGGAGAGAAATGGTGGCATTCACACTCAGAGTGGGCAGGGTAAGTGTCTCGAGCTTTGAGGGATGGGACTGCAGGGCCCACTGAGGCTTTTAAAAGGAACATTGTACACAGTTCCATGCACTGTACAGGACACAAATCTATGGGGTTCCCATTCTGTGACCATCATAATACACTGATCGCTGTTTGCATTGCACATTCCCAGAAATCAATGACCAATTCGTTCACTTTTTGACATAGGGGCCATGAAATAATAGGGATGTTTTACAAGGATGGCTTAAGGTGTCACCAGCACTCAGAGCCCCTGTATGTGTCTTATCCCAGTTACTTCCAGAAGAAACAGCTGTCTCCAGGACATACATGGATCCATGGGACATTGTCTGTGGCCATGAAGTGATGCCTCATGCTAAAATTAATGATATTTGGGCCACACAGGGAGACAAGAACATAAGAACATAAGGACATAAGAACTAGGAGCAGGAGTAGGCCATCTGGCCCCTCGAGCCTGCCCCGCCATTTTATAAGATCATGGCTGATCTTTTTGAGACTCAGCTCCACTTACCTGCCCACTCACCATAACCCTTAATTCCTTTACTGTTCAAAAATTTATCTAGCCTTGCCTTAAAAACATTCAGTGAGGTAGCTTCAACCGCTTCACTGGGCAGGGAATTCCACAGATTCACAAACCTTTGGGTGAAGAAGTTCCTCCTGACCTCAGCCCTACATCTGCTTCCCTTTATTTTGAGGCGATGCCCTCTAGTCCTAGTTTCACCTGCTAGCGGAAACAACCTCCCTGCCTCCACCTTATCTATTCCCTTCATAATCTTATATGTTTTGATAAGATCTCCCCTCATTCTTCTGAATTCCAATGAGTATAATCCCAGTCTACTCAGTCTCTCCTCATAATCCAACCCTCTCAACTCTGGAATCAACCGAGTGAATGTCCTCTGCACCCCCTCCAGTGCTAGTACATCCCTTCTCAAGTAAGGAGACCAAAACTGCACACAGTACTCCAGGTGTGTCCTTACCAGGACCCTATACAGCTGCAGCATAGCCTCCCTGTTTTTAAACTCCATCCCTCTAGCAATGACAGACAAAATTCCATTTGCCTTTTTAATTACCTGCTGCACCTGCAATCCTACTTTTAGCGATTCATGCACAAGGACACCCAAGTCCCTCTGCACAGCAGCGTGCTGCAATTTTTTACCATTTAAAACATAGTTCATTTTGCTCTTATTCCTACCAAAATGGATGACCTCACACTTATCAACATTGTACTCCATCTGCCAGACCTTTGCCCACCCACTTAGACTATCTATATCCCTCTGCAGACTTTCAGTGTCTTCTGCACACTTTGCTCTACCACTCACCTTAGTGTCATCTGCAAATTTTGACACACCACACACTTAGTGCCCAACGCCAAATCATCCATGTAAATTGTAAACAATTGCGGTCCCAACACTGATCCCTGAGGCACACCACTAGCCACTGACCGCCAACCAGAAAAACAACCATTTACCCCTACTCTTTGCTTTCTACTGGTCAACCAATCCTCTATCCATGCCAATACATTACCTGTAATACTGTGCAACTTTATCTTATGTAGCAGCTTTTGGTGTGGCACCTTGAGACAAGAAACCAGATGTAAGGTGAAATTAATGATATTTACTGAAAGAAAGTGCAGAATGATATATTGTGCATTGTTACCCTTGCAACCAAAGTGCCCTCAGTAAGTTTTTATCTATTTCTTCCTCCCATTACATCTTCGTGTAATCATTGTTTCTGCTGCCGGGCTGGAGGGATCATGCTCAGCAGTGGAACCTGGAGGTTCTGGTGGTCCTGGAGATTTAGTCAGACAACCCTGAGGGAGGCTTTAGTGAGTGTGCGACAGACATACTGAGGGTCTTCTTGTCAACTTAGTAAGTTGACCAACCTCGGCACACATATCCAAAGAGCAGTGGGGGACAGGCAAAATGGCAGTGGAGTGTTCTGATTGGAGACTTCTAAGGGGTTTGCGTGTGATTCTTCCTCTCAGCACTGCACCTTATCCTTGTGATAAAGGGGCACCTGAACTTTGTGCTAGGTTACCCATCCCACTGTCGCCTTGGCTTCAGTGCTGAAAACCAATGTTTTGGGCAATGGAATGCAAGTATTTGTGCCTCTCCAGCAGATCCTGAGGGTTGTGGACATGGCTGTCCATGGCAGCCACCAACGTGTCCATGGAGGCAGACAGACCATTGCATGGCTCACTGCACTCTTGCAAGTTCTGGACTGCAAATTGGTGGCTATACCTTAAGCCACCCGCAGTTTGGAATTCTCTCACATACTTTCAAACAGTCCATTATCCTATTCTTTAAAAATCATTTCTTCATTTATGCTTTTGTTCATCCCTCCTAATTATTTTTCTCGTTATTTTTAAACACACATCTACTTATGTTGTGCAAAGTTTCTCTGTTGGAGAGTCGTAAAGTGAGTGCTGGCCATTGTTATTGCTGAGTCATGGTTTTTAACCTGTCAACCAATGCACAGACAAATAAAGGGGAGGAATTTTTCTTTTGCTAAGAAAACGAATGAACGTTAAGTGTATGCAGTATGAACGGTATTAACAGAATCTGATTTATTAAAATTATTTCTGATTAAATCAAGCTAACTAAAAGATTATTGACATAGTATCTGAAGCAAAATCTTTATTTCTGTAACTGAGTAGCTGAATTGTGCTCTTCATAGGTGAACTCTTCAGAGCTCAGAATAAATGGAGAACAAAGATCTGCCTCTCATTGCAAATGAGTTTCAGGAGAATGGGTCAATGTATGAAGAATCGCTTGAGTTTGACGGAAGGAATCTCTCAAAGCTGAACCTTTGTGAAGAAAGTATGTATAATTATTCATGAAGAGAATTGGAAATTGAGAGCAAAAGATCTTTGTTTTCATAGAAAGATTTGTGGTTTTCCATTCTTTCGTATTTGCTGTTATTTGAATTATTATTCGACAATTAAGATTTTGAAACTCAAAGTAATTTTCATAAAATGTGGTTGGCTGAATGAGTTCCTAAGTTTGCTGTTTCTTGAGTATCAAATCCTGCTTTAGAACTGTTCAAGCCCTGTTAAAATGAAAATAGTTTCAGTATACTCCTTTAGTTACAATCTTCCGAGTGAGACTGAAGCTTTAAGTAAATCCATTCTTTGAATGTGGACATCATTGGCAAGGACTTAATTTATGCATTTATTGCCCTTCAGTCAGCGCTATTGTCAGTCCAGCATGCAACCATTTTGCTGTGGGACTATTGCTCATTTCTCCACTAGTGTTGCAGGCATACATTATAGTGAGAGTCATGTGCAGCAGCTGCAATTTTCCTAAGGTTATGCTGTAATAAACAGTAGCTGTGGTTAAGAAATGCAGCAGCTGCCAGAAAGCGTGAGGTGTCTATTATGAAAGAGCTTAGGGCATTTAACTAGAGATTTCTCCAACTGTAGTGAAAGAACCAAGCACCTTTCATCTCACCTGTTGGTTCCCTATCTGTTGCTAATGTTTCTAGATAGTTTCATTTGTATTTTACTCTAATGACAGCATCAGTAGGAATGCAAGTAAGTGCACCCAGGAAATCTACCTTTCAATTCCCTCTCTGGACTACTGTGTGGTGATTCTGCATTTTAAATGATGCAACTGTGGCATAACTTATTTTGAGGAAATTCTCGAAGTCCACCACAAATACATCTAACACTAATGTGTTGCAATGAAAGCACTTCTTGACAGTACGGTCCGGAGTTAATATTGATCCGTTGATTAAAGAAGGTTAGTTATCATGGCAGCAGTTTAATTTACATCAAATGTATCTAACACTCTGCTTCAACAGAATAACAACTATTCACCATGCCCAAGAAAAGATATAAAATATTTCAGCACTGGTAACTATCTATTTCTGCAAAAGAAAACCATACACGATTAAAACAAAATCATAAATGTCACTCGGTATTACAAATAATGGGTAATCACGCATAAATACAATAAGGTATTCCAAAGAAATGTCTTTATCTAGAGAGTGGTTTGACTGTGGAAATTGTTGCAATGTGGAGTAGCTAGAAAGTATTATAAATATTAAAAACATAGAAATAGTCTATTCGGCCATACAGGCCCAGTCTAGCATTTATACTTCATGTTACAAGTTGAATCTTGACCACTGTGCATTACGTTGTATGATGCAACTATAAGTTTATTCTATTTCTTGGTCAGGATCAACAGGACCTGGTTGGACTAGTATAGTAGAGGAAAATTATTTGGTAATCTAATGGGAATAGGCTCTTGTCTTTAAAAAGATCTAGTTTATTGCATTATAGCAACTCTATCAATTATATAAATAAGATAGACATTGGTTCAGACACTTTGAGTAAGATCCAGATGATAGGTTGTATTTCTCAAGATCCTAATCTGTTCTTTCCCCCCTCCCCCCAGTTCCGTATGACATCATCATGGTACTTAAAGCACTCCTCAGTGTTTCAGGCTTTTAAGTCCTATGCAACATCTCCTCCAAAGGTCTCACTTCTCAACTTCAGCTGATCTGGACATTTCACTATTTTCCCAGAATGCATTCTCTTCAGTCTTGAAAGATTGGTAGGTCTCTCCAGTGAAGACTATTGACAATGAATCTTTTCCTGACAGTCTGTGAATCCCTTTACACTGGAGGACGTCTTATCTCTTGGATTTCCTTTGCTGGGGACACGTTCCTGCTAAAACAGACAATTGCTCCATTGTAGTGCCTGGAAGATCTCATGACTTTCCTTCGTGGAGAACAGTTATCTTGATGAAACAGACAAACTCTTTGTCAAGTATGCAGGAGCTCTGAGCAAGACAATTTTCTCGTTTTGTGACACCATTCACCATCCAGTAGTGACTTCCGTGGAATTGTGAACACCACAATCCATGTGAACAGATTTTTATTCTTAATTGGCTAGTAAATCTGTTCTGAAGTGTAGAGTCTATACTTCATCTTGTTGCTTAACTTGGACAGTTTCATTTGATCTTGATGATTGCAGTACTCCTGAAACCAAAATGCTTGCTTTATCAGTCATACTACTCGAGGATTGCTTCTTGCTTGGCAAGATCGTAGTCACTGGTACTGAATTCTATCTTACAACCTGATTCAAGATGCCAAGGATTCTCGTCATGGAATTCAGAGCAAGTACCTGCCAATTTCAGCTTGCCACTCACTGCAAAGAATGTCCATGTTTGTCTTTTTTTTATTCACTCACGGGATGAGGACGTCACTGGCTAGGCAGCACTTGTTGCTCATCCCTAATTGTCCAGAGGGCAGTTAAGAGTCAACCACATTGCTGTGGGTCTGGAGTCACATGTAGGCCAGACCAGGTAAGGATGGCAGTTTCCTTCTCTAAAAGACATTCGTGAACCAGATTGGTTTTTCCTGACAATTGCCAATGGATTCATGGTCATCATTAGATCCTTAATTTCAGATTTTTATTGAAATCAAATTCCTCTGTCTACCATGATGGGATTCAAACCCGGGCCCCCAGAACATTATCTGGGTCTCTGGATTAACAGTCCAGCGATAATACCACTAGGCCACTGCGACATCATCACAGGCATGCTCCATGGACACCAGACACATGTACCCCAGGTCTATGGACATTAGCATTCAAAATGTGCCAGCCTCTAAGAAGCCTCTTGGCTCAACTCCAATCCATCTACAGTACAGTACAATGAAATCCACCTACATTTCATTGCTGCACCTCGGAGCTCCACTTTGCTCTCAGGGACACACATCCAGCTCATGGACTGGACTCTGTGGCAGCTCTGGGCTGTTCACATATTCTCTTAGTGCTCAGTCACTTTGAGCCCACTTGGAAACTCACAGAATCCCTCCTAGTCTTGACTTACCTTGTCTTTTTGCACCTTGCCACCTCGGTCATAGATATCAGGCTGACTGTACTGCTGTACTGCCTTGCCATTTAGCGAAGACAAAAGTCAAGACATTTATCATAGATATCAGGAGTTCCCATAAATTCAAGGGAGACAGTCAGGGGGTATCTGCACAGTGGGTCAAAAGAAGCATCTGATATTGGTTCAGGGACTTGGACACAGTCAGTCAGTCACTTGAGGCCGTCAGAGTCAGGATCTCCTACTCATGAGGGATAAGGGGCCAAATGTCAGGCTGCCCATCACCTGTCATGATTCTTTCTGCCTTATTATGGGTTGTTTTCCTCCTGGAATGAGAGGAAAGCAGGTTTTAAGGGGGAGGAAAGTGTGTGGCATGGCCGTTATTTTTGATGCAGTTATAGAATTGGCTCCTCGGTTGGCAATGCAAAAGGCTTGCAGTGTTAGTGGTTCCAGGGATTTAGAGGGTAACAAATTAGGTGAATGAGAGTGAGTGAGGGAAGATGTTGCATGCAATAGTGAGAGCGATTGAGCGTGAGCCTTGGTGAGATTGGCTACTGTGGTAGAGTGATTTTGAGGAATTGGAGGGACGTTGGTGGCACTAATGCTGGCAGAGTGGACAAGGTCATTGCCCTTCTTCCTAAAGTGCTGTGCATTCCTCCAGCTAGCGGAGACTGCTTTGACTTAGTTGGCATACTTGGACCTGGCTGGCATGGTCTGGTATCATGGACTTCTCTGCTGATCCTGGGCAAGAGGACATCCTGCCAATACATGACCAGGACCATAATGACCCTGCCTGTAAAGTAAGATGTAAATTTACTCTTTTATGCCACGTCTGGGGCACAAGTCAGGAATTGTGAAGGGTATGCTCTGGTCTGACAGAGCTTGTCTGAGTGCACAATGGCCTTCTGAACAATGTCCCGTGCCAGGAAAGCTGCTACATTCCGTGATATTCTAGCAGTGGAAAGTTGTTCTGGGTCCAATCAGTGGTAGAATGGGACTAGATTTGGATGAGAGGGATGTCATATTATGCGGTATGTAGTTTGGTATGATACATAGAGAGAACTGGCTATGCATCGCAGAGGGGAATCCTCCCTGAAACTTGACAAAACTAATGTTTAGACAAAAAAGATTTGACTCATTTTTTACTGCCAGCCAGCCAATCTTCTCTATAGGCTAATTTGTTACCCTCTATACCACAAGCTTTTATTTTCTACAATGACTTTTGATGTGGCATCTTATGAAATTCAAGTATAACATGTCTACAGGTTTCCTTTTATTCACAGCACATTACTCTTTCAAATGTCAACAATAAATAGCTAAAATAACAAGGTGTAGAGCTGGATGAACACAGCAGGCCAAGCAGCATCAGAGGAGCAGGAAGGCTGACCTTTCGGGCCTAGACCCTTCTTCAGAAATGACCATTTCTAAAGAAGGGT